TATTAGAGGATTCTAACAAGGGATTCTACTCACAATTATGTTAGAAAGTACATGGGAGGTGATTTCCATTACCCAATTTCGGAAGAGGTTTCAACAATAGTCAAATGCTTCAAGGGAGGTTTCAGCAATTTACCCTTTCCTTTAATATGGTTAATTAATATAGGATTCAATGCAAGAATGGTATGGGAGTTAATTCCTTAAATATAAGACTTAATGAGAGGAAAATGAATGAGGAGAAATGTAGTAGTTCAAATTACATTTTGTGTCCTCACAATTAGAGAGAGACCAAATTCAAAAGTATGGGTATTTTAGTCAAGAGTAGGTTTAAATGAATGTTAATGGAAATTAATACTTAAATATAGGACTTAATGAGATGGATTTGAATGAAGAAAAAGTAGTTGTTCAAATTACATTTTTTTCCTTATAATTAGAGAGGGATCAAATTAAAAATTTGGGATATTTTAATCAAAAAAAAGTTTCACACTATCATTTATACTTTTAATAGTGGTATAGATATAGATATAGATTTTGTAATCCATGACCTATCAATTAGGTCAACAATTTTTTATTTTCAGGTTTGAGATTCAACCAAAATGAAATTCCATTGCGATGACAATTCGATCAGTTCAATCGCCTGAATCAACCGCAGATTGAAAACATTGATGTCTACAACTCTTTTTTAAGTACATTGATGTCTACAACTTGATCCTTAATAGAGATTGAAGTAGATGATTAATGCTTTTTATTAGGACACTTTGTTCACACACAATATGATAGTACACATGGGGCCCAACCAATGATATATGGTCCAAGTTCTTTGAATAGATATTGAAACCGAAGGAACTTAGAGGTGGCACTAGACAATTTGGTAATCTAAATTTTGTGCTAGGTATGTGATGGTAAGCTACTTAAAGGGGATCAAGAGATGAGAGTATTGCCAAAAGTCATATATAAAACTTTGCTTCTAGGGGTGGCATAAGCCGAGCTCGAGCTCAATTTACAAGCTCGTTTATTAATAGAGACGAGCTCGAGCCTAATAAAGCTCGGCTCGTGAGGCTTGCAAGTCAAGCTTGAATAGCTACATATATACATACATACATACACACATACATACATACATACATACATACATACATACATACATACATACGTACATACATACATATATAATAAAAATATTATAGATATAATATTTTTATTTTTATATATAATAATAACTAATTATTATAATTTTTAATTTTTTAAATATAAAATAAAAAAAATAATATAATTTTTTATTTTTATAAAACATTTTTCTCAAGTCAAACTCGAGCCAAGCCGGGCTCGAGCTTACGAGCTTTTGGCTCGAGCTGAGCTCAAGCTTGAGCCTTGTACTACCTTGGGGAGCCAAGCTTGAATAGCTAGCTATTCGGCTCGGCTTGGGTCAAATCCACCCCTACTTGCTTCATATAAAAAATCGTTAATTTGGGTATCCTACCTAATTAGTGTCACAGGGGTGGAGCTTAGTGGAAGAATTAATTAATGGTATGATTCATAATTAGGTACTTGTTTTAGTAGGGGTGTCAATTGGACCAGATTTGGTCCAATCCGATCTGATCCAATATGATAAATGGATCAAGTCCAATCAAATCCAATGAATATTTTGGATAGTGCAATTTAATGTTTGGACAGTTCATTCGGGTCAAATTGGTTTTAATTTAGATTAATTTCAAACAAAACCTTGTTCATTTACACTTGTATTCTTATATTATATCAATGGACTAGATATTGATTCAATCTGATCCAATCCAATATAAATCTATTATGGATGGATCAGGTCCGGTCCAATTCAATAAATACTTTGGACCATTAAGCCTGGACTGATCCAATTCAATGTCTTATTGGTTCATCCAATCCATCCAAATTGAATTTGATTTGGACGGGGTTTTAACCCAAAACAGGTCATTGACACCCCTGTTTGAGGTAACATAATATCCATTTCATGACCATGCTCCAACATTCAAAGGTCATACATGAATTGATAAAACTTGTTTACTTAGAAGGCGATGCCGAATGTAATAATATACATTATGATAGATATCAGAGTTATTTCACAAATCCAAAGAAACCACTATGAGCTTGCCTTACACCATCAATCCCAATCCCAAATAAAGGAGAGTTGTGTCAGCTTGGTAGTCAGCATTAAACTTTTGTGAATTCTTTTAGTTATGGATCCTGAATCGTCTTCTCTTTCTCATGGTGCATTTATTGGAAGTAAGGGTATCAATGGATCGGTTTTGGATCAGTCCAAAATCAATTTGGACGGATAGGACGGACCAATAAGACATATTGGATTGGACCAATTTGGTCCAAAATATTTATTAAATTAGATTAGACCTAGTTCGCTCGTAACAAATTTATATTGGATTGGGTTGGATTAAGTTAATATCTGGTCTATTGATATAAGATAAGAATATATGTGTCAATGGACTGGGTTTGGGTTGAAAACAATGTAAATCAAAATGAATTTGAACAGCTTGGACGGTCTAAACATTGAATTGGACCAGTCCAAAACATTTATTGGATTGGATTGGACCTAGGGGTATCAGCAGTATTCGAAAATCCAATTTCAAATTCGACATTCGACATAATCGAATCGAATTTGGATAAACCGAATATCTAATCGATCGAATTCGGATATCTTATTCATATCGAATAGTTAATCGGATTCAAATTCAGATATGACCTAATTCGATTCGATAAATATCCGAATTCGACCGATTATTTAATTTTTATATATAATATATAAAATATTTAAATGTCTTATATAATTTATATATATAATAATTAAATTATATAAATAATTTATATATTTATATACTTTATATAAATAAAATATTTATTAAATCACCTAAAATAATTAATTAGTCGAATTCGAATCGAATCGAATATTCGAATATTTAATCGAATTCGAATTCGAATATTGAATTTTCTAATCAGATTCGAATTCGAATATTGCTTGATCCGATTCGAATTCAACTCGTTTATACTCCTACCTGGTCCATTTATAATAGACTCACATTGGACTAGATCGGATTGAACCAAACCCAGTCCAATTGACACCCCTAGTTGGAAGTAATGTGCCATACCTTACCGAGTGTAATGGGAAATGGGCAACGTACAATACAATATTAATCAAACAAATAAGATGGAAAAATAAGATTCATGTACTTAACCCCATATAATTGAGACAAGACATAGATGATGATGATGATGATAAAATCAAAGGAAAATCCCTATACAAAGTGGATCGCAAATTAATTAAGCACAAACCATTGCCCCTTACTAAGGGGCATTTGCTAGTGCTTATGAATGGCAACCTGGTTGGGCAGGACCAGGATTCTGCATACCCTATTTCTGTCTTCAAATACATATATTGTACTTTTCCTGGCCTCATACCGTCCCCACGGGAAATGGAGATCCCCGAATTTGTCCCGCCCTGCACCAGCCATTCTTAGGTGCAAACTTTTTTTTTTTTTTGAAAAAAAAAACATATATATTATATGCACATTATGAATATTATATAATATGTGTATAAAATTTATTTTATACAATACATAATATGAAATATTATATATAATACATGTTATAGGTGTTATACTATAATATTTATATATAAATATAATATAAAATATCATCTTCTACACATGATATATTATAACAATCTTGTTTTCTTTAAAACCATGTATAGCACATAAACAATTTCTTGATATTGATTTTAAGGCTCAATTTGGAAAGAATGCAAATACAAAAATGTATAGTACAAATACGAGGCTTAAAAACACATATACAAGGTTTTGCATTGAACATATTTGTATTTGCAGTCTTCTCAAATTGAGTTCCTTTTAAACCTTGTATTTGCACTGAGCATAGTGATTGAATATTCAATCTCTTTACAAGGGAGGGGCAAGGAATTGGCAAAGAATGATCATTCCCTCAAATAGAAAAATGTCATTCCAAGCAGGAATGGGAATGAGATTTCGATTCCACCCAACCAAATAGTCAGAATCGGAATAGCTCATTACAATTCTGATTCCAGACCCCTATTCCCATGAACCAAATTGGGGCTAAGTATGAGTTAAAACCCAAACTAGATACAACAAGAGGTAAAATGGTAAAGGTTTCATTTGGGGAAGAGTGTAAAAACAAATTATTTTGCTCATGCTCGGTTCATAAGCATGCTTTGTGTTTGAAGTGCACATATATTTGTATTTGCGTTCTTTCCAAACTGAGCAAAGCCTTATATACAGTACCAAGGTTTTTAAAATCGAATTAGACAATTAACCGATGAGGGGTCTGGTTCTCGGGTTGAACGGTCTGATTGTTCAAATTGAATGGACGTCCTATTTTGACAAAAAAATAAAAAATTAAAAAAAAAAATCAAAACTATTGGACTGATCAAATGATTTGACCGTCCAAATTAACAATTTACTGACTAAATCAACGGCTCTTTTTCACAAACATGATCGATTTCCGGTTTTTCCGGTCCGACCATCCAATCCGATCCGATTTTGAAAATCACGTACGGTACGGGCAAAATATCAACTGCCATCACATATGTGTATAGTATGAATGAGTTTTACATTTTCATGGACTTGTATTATTATATAACCCCCATTTATGATCCTAAATATCAGCTAAAGTATTAAATTCTCACTTTTGACTCGTATTTTGTCAGCAGTTCGCGTGATTTATCAAAACTGGGTGTGCCCATATCAATCCTCTTCAATATTTTATTTATTTTATATATATTTGTTTTCTATCAATAAATTAAATAGAGCAAGACAAAAATAAAGGAGGGGGATTTTAACCATTCCAAAGGTTATAATGGTAATTCAGGTACGAGATCGTAAGGATGTACTCTTTCCGTCCTTTCAAACCAAACTCAGTGGGTCCCATTTGCCAGCTATCTCTTCGATGCTTCGAAAATCCTCTACAAGAAGTCAAGCAGCGCGCGCTTCTTCCCCTTATCGGTCCCTTTCTTCCTCCTCAACCCATCCAAATCTCCTCTCTCACTCTCTCTCTCTCTCCCTCTCTCTCCTTCTCTTCCTCACACTCTGCAACTGTAATGTCTGCACCAGAAGACCGACTGGATCGGTTCGAAACAGCCACCAATGATGAGGAATCGCCGTCCGCTGGCTACACGAAGAACCGGCCCCGGCAATCCGCGCTGCCATACCGGGGAGTTCGTCGACGAAGCTGGGGACGTTACGTTTCCGAGATACGCTTACCCAAGAAGAAGACCAGAATCTGGCTGGGCTCCTTCCTATCGCCGGAGATGGCCGCACGCGCCTACGACTCGGCCGCGTTCTTCCTGAAAGGGCAATCGGCGACACTCAACTTCCCCGAGTCAGCCGGCTCTCTGCCTCGCCCCCTTTCGTCGTCGCGCAAGGATATACAGACGGCCGCTGCGAAGGCCGCTCTCAACTCGGTGGCCAACCGGGAGCTATTGGAGCCGGGCCGGGCGGAGGTCGAACCGAGCTCGTGTTCCGGTTCGGCCTCCGAGGTTTGGTGGGATTTGGACCAAGAGCTGGCGAGCGTGTTTGATGACGTAAGAGAGGCGCCTCTTCATAGCCCGTTGAGGTTGGATTCCATCGCCGGCGAGTTTCTCTCCGGCGAAGTCATCGATGAGAACGGGTTCCTGTTGTCTTCTTTCGAGTTATGAAGTGAAATTAACAAAATGCCCTCGATCTGAAACTTGAATGCCTTTTCTGACCTTCAATTGTGGCTTGTGCCTTGTTCATAACCATAACACCGTCTATATCCTCCGGATGGGCAGTTCAGCCGGATCTCAGTGATCAGACTCTGGATGTGTAAAACATGTTAATAGAACTTGGATTTGGGTGTGAATTGTTCTCCCTCTAGACTCTGGTCTGGTAATAGAATTGTAGGGACATTTTGGTAAGTATCTTTATTTATTTATTTGTAATTGGTTTGGAATATGGATATGGTTGTTTATATTTTCTTTGTGGATTGAAGATGTAACTTTTATAGCAACAACATGAAATGGTGCCATGGTGGAGTGGATTCTAGGGAAAAAATTGAAATTATGGAATTTGTTGTTGTTTTCTCTCTTTTTTTCATTTGGTGGAGTGGGGTGAGATGGAGAGGACAATGGCTGGATTCAGGGAAATGGAACCTCTAGACTCTAGTGCAATATGGGTCCACATAATTTGCCACGTGGCAAATTTTTAAAAGATTAGGTCCCATAAGTGGATGAGTCCCAGTGGAAAAGATTTAAATAAAGGGAATTTTAGACTACACTCCACCTCAGAATTTTGATTTGAACGGTAGATCTACAATAATTCAAAATTTAAAACAATTCTATCTATAACACCCATATTTTCCCTTGAATTGACATCAATTTCGAACTGGCACTGACCCCCAATTGACCCCAACTGTACAGTAGAGCTAAGATGTCTGCACGTGGACTGAATAGTAAAAACCCATAAATATAAAAATCAGCATAATAATCATATGTATTTGCTTAATTTTTAGATTTTTGGCTTTGAAAAGTAGTATTTTCGACCACCAACAAGTTTTTTGTAGATTACCACCCTGTATTTCTAGCCAGCTAGGGTAGTGACAGTTACCCCCAACTTTAATTTTGCAGCGAAAAATCCTCCTTAAATTTTCAAATTTTAACACTTTGTCACCTCACTTTGACCTAGGGATACAAACGAATCGGATTAGATTTGAATCAGGATATTATTAAATCCGATTTAATAGCATAAATAGTAGATCCAATCCGATCCGAAGATTCGGTCAAATCACATAAGCATCGATTTGAATTCGAATTTGTTAAAGATGTCAAATATTTGAATATGATTCGATCTGATTTAATTTCTCAAAATTTTAAAAAATATAAAAGTGCTTATAAATAAATCCAAAAAAATATAAGTATTTTTCAATTATTTTCATCATATATGCACATATTTTTATAAAAATATATAAAAATTACAAAAATTCAATATAAACATATGCACGCACACACACACAGATCTATCTATCTATCTATCTATCTATCTATCTATCTATCTATCTATCTTTCTATCTATCTATCTATCTATCTATCTATCTATCTATCTATCTATCTATCTATCTATCTATCTATATATCTATCTATCAATCCATCTATATATATATATATATTGATGATGGGTGATTTGACCCGACCTCATAACAGGGGGACACGTGGACGCAGCCCGACTAATAGATGACAACTCAGCTTAACGAGTCCGCAGCAGATCGAGCACAGGTACCCAACCCCCCCGAGCTAAATTGACCTCGGAAAAAGCTCACCTTGGGAAGAGATCGACTCGGTACCAGATCGCAACAAGAGCAACCTGATGCCAAGGCACTTCGACATTCAGCCCAGTTCAGGACTTAAAGACATCAGTCTGGGGATACCAACACACCACTGCGTGGTGATCCCGAAAACCCCTCCAACAGATCCCAGGTCTCACGAGGTCACACCGTGTAACAGCTAACATTATCTCCCCGCCCAATTAGGACAAAATTGATGAACCTTATCAGATGGCAGCATTATCTTCCAACTTACTCGGAAACGGATCCTATCGTGACGATGATCCCAGAACCGATCCGTAAAACCCGCGAGGACTCCATTATATAAAGGCTCCACCCCCGGTGGTTCCAGGTATGCGTGATTTTCCTTCTCTCAAGCTCTCTACTTTCAAAAGCAATTTTAGCTCGCTACTAGCCTACTGACTTAAGCATCGGAGCGACCTCGCCGGGTTAGCATCCCTGGGTTCTCTGATATCCTTGCAGGTTCAGTCTGCCATCCGTCTAGAAGTCAGATCACCTCCAACAGGGAGCAGTTAGATCATGCTACATCAATTGGCATCGTCTGTGGGAATCACTACAAGAAGCCTCTTTCCACCAAGAATCACAAACTCAAATCTATGGCATCCTCCAGCAACGCTGGACAAAATAATGAGATGAATGACTCTGGGGGGCAACCTCAGATCCCGATCACGTGCATCAGTCAATTCACCATACCGCTCTCTGCGGCTGGGGTCCCAACGCTGACTGTGCCTCAAGCAACTGCGCCAGTGAATGCCCCACTCCCTCCTATAGTGGGTGCGACCTTTGCTGAACCATCCGTGGTTCCCCCTGGCGTCGGACAGCATTAGCTTGACAACCTGGTACACTGCATACAAGCTATTCAAGCCCAAATGCAACAGGTCCAACAATTTCAGCACTACCAGCAACAGGTTTTACACCATTTTTACCAGCAGCAGTTCCCACCGCTGTAGTAGAATCAACAGCCAGTTCTACCTCGACATCCGATAGCACAACAGAATAAGTCCCGTCGTCAAAACACTCGCTCTCCTTACCGGGGAGAGACTTCCTAGATTTAGCATCCCCTTGGGAGCCAGGTCTCGTCCCGCGGTAGGAGGGAAAGGCAAGTTACTCCTCCCGCTTTGCAGAACGTGAACAGGTCGAGAGACACTCAACCCGCCAGAGCTACTTCACCTCGGCCCTCGCATCATGAAGGTTCGCATGCAGGGAACCGGTTCGGGGTTCTGATCGCGGACTCTAGGCGAGGCCCCTCCGTTCACAGCAGCCAGCATCAGCAGTCCGAACCACTCCGTGCCAAGACATTACCCGACCACACAGAGGTCAACAACACCAATGCGGAGCCAATCAAGAAGCAGCAAAGGTGGCGTCCTAAGGCACGTCGAACTGTAGTTCCAAGCTAGCTCGCTAGACCTAATCAACCTGAGCAGCCTAAAGGTAAAGAGGAGGCGAGCTCGGAAGCCACAAAGACCGCTCCCCTCCTCTCCAGGTCATCTCCTTTGTCCTCCGAGCTCCTGGCGACCCCAATGCCGAAGGACTTCAAAGTGCCTCCGCTGGATAAGTACGATGGGTCGTTCGACCCAAATGATCATGTAGACTCGTTCCAGTCCCAAATGCATCTAGTTGGGGCTGACAAGTCCTGCATGTGCGTTTCCTTCTCTACGACATTCAAAGGAGTAGCTCGCACGTGATACAAGAACCTCGTGCTAGGGACGATCAAAAGTTGGGCGCAGTTCGTGCAGATGTTCACCTCGCACTTCATCACCAGCAAGAAGTGCCCGAGGTCACAAGAAAGCCTCCTTAGCATAGTCCAGAGAGAAGGGGAGTCGATCCGAATCTACATCAAACGCTTCAACGACACCTGTTTACAAATTCCTGACCTAGATCCCGCTGTAAGACTCACGGCAGCAAAGAAGGGTATTACCCACAGGGAATTTAAATGGCACTAGTGACAAACAAGCCCAAGGAAATCACTGAATTCCTCAAGCTCACCAATTCATCGGGACCGAAGAAGAGATGAACCAGAAGAATGAAGCCCCAGTAGAGAAGAGAAAAAGAGAAGATGACAACCCGAGCAACGGTGGCATCAAACGAAGGAAAAGAAAGTCCCCAACCAAGGGAGGAAACAAGTCAGATTGGCATTCCCGAACTCCCCCGATTGAAAGGATGAGCTACACACCCCTCAACGTGAAGCGGGGAGAAATTCTTATGGCGATCAAGGACACCTCCTATGTGAAGTCGCCACCCCGGTTGAGGGGAGATCGTGCCACTAGAAACAAAAATGTATATTTCCATTTCCACAAAGATCACGGTCACAGTACCGAAAATTATAGAAATCTCCGCGATGAGATCGAAGAGCTCATCCGTCACGGATATTTAAAAAATTTTGTACAAAAGGAAACTAAAAACCAAACAGATCGGTAGGGGGAGCAAAAGAGAAATGCTCCCAAGTCCAGCAGCAGGCAGAGTGAGCAGCCGCAGAGACAGTTGTCGGAAGAGAGACCGATCCACGGAGTAATCAATATGACTACTGGCCGGTCCATCATCGCGGGCTACACCTCAGCAGTAGGGAAAGCCTCGGTTCGCGAACTAGAATGTGAGGAGCAGAATCCACCGAAGCGACCTAGGCTCAAAGACCCAATATTTTTTATAGAGGATGATGCGCGTGGGGTTCAGTATCCCCATGATAATGCCCTGGTAATAAAAATGAGACTAAATGATTTTGAGGTAAAGCGCGTCCTAGAAGATTCGGACAGTTCAGTTGACATCTTATTCAAGGACGCCTTCGATAAGCTCCAGCTCCAGGAAGGCAATCTCAAGCCGACAAATACACCATTGGTGGGCTTCAGCGACGAAGAGGTCAGACCGCTAGGGCGAGTCTCAGTACCCATAGAGGTCGGCACATGGCCCAACATTGCGAGGTTCGAGCATGCATTCCTGGTGGTCGTGACTCCCTCCTCGTACAATGCCATAGTAGATCGGCCCATTACCCACGCACTTCGCGCGGTGGTATCTACCTACTACCTGACCTTGAAGTTCCCTACAAACTATGGAGTAGGGGTAGTGCGAGGTAACCAGCTCGAGTCTCGCAAATGCTATGTCGCCGCTCTCAAAGGGAAAGCCAAGCTAGCGGCTAATATCGAGCTCAAGCGACTTGTGGAGTATCCCGAGGAGCGAGCTATGCCAACAGAAGAGACGATCCACATCCCGATCTCAAAAGAAAATCCAGCCAGAACTCTCTAGATCAGCGCATCGATCGAGGAACCATTTCATTCTCAGCTGATAAGTTTTTTAATTAAAAATTTAGACGTATTTGCATGGTCCGCGGCAGAGATGCTCGGAATAGACCCAAGAATTATAACTCACAAGTTGAACATTGATCCTTTAGTTAGGGCAGTTAGACAGAAAAAACGCAACCTCGCCCCGGAGTGCTGGAGGATAGTCGACGAGGAGGTCGGGAAGCTCCTTGCAGCCGATTTCATCAGGGAGGTCTATTACCCGAATTGGGTAGCTAACCCAGTTCTGGTAAAAAAGGCCAACGATAAATGGTGCATGTGCATCGATTATACTGACCTGAATTGAGCTTGCTCGAAGGATTGTTTCCCACTCCCTAAGACTGACAGTCTAGTGGACACGACCTTAAGGCATGAGTTGTTGAGTTTCCTGGACGCATACTCAGGATACAACCAGATCAAGATGGACCCTGCCGACGAAGAAAAACTTGCATTCATAACC